AGAGGCAAGAGGATTCCTGGGGCTCACTGGCCAGCCAGTCTAGCCTAATCTGGGAGCTCCAGGCCACGAGAGGCTCTGTCTCAAGAAGCAAGGTGGACCACTCCTGAGGAATTACATCAGAGGCTGACCCCACCTCTCACACACAGCAACATGTAAACTTAACACACACACACACACACACACACACACACACACACACACATGCACGCACACCTGCACATACACAAACATGCACACCCACCCGTACATTTAAAACTATGCACATACATTTTAAAGATTTGTGTAGTTTTAATTTTGTGCGAGTGTTTTGCCTGCATTAAATGTGTGTGTATATGTGCCATAGCTCTTAAACACTGAGCCACTTTCCTGGACCCCTAAATATATTTTTAAGGAATATTTTGGCCAGGCATGGTGTCACATCCCTCTAACCCCAGCACTTGGGTAGCAAAAGCAGGCACATTTCTTGAGTTTGAGGCCAGCTTGGTCTACATTGTGAGTTCGAGGCCCAGCAAGGGTTAGTTAGTAAATTAGTGAAACCTCTTTTTTTTTTTTTTCTTTCCTTTTTCTTTTAGTTTTTTTAGAGAGGCCTCACTATGCAACCCTGACTAGCTTGGAATGCACCTTGTAGACCAGCTGGTCTTGAACTCACAGAAATCTTATTAACTCTGCATCCCAAGTGTTGGAACTAAAGTTGTGCACCACTATTCCTGGCAAGACAATTTTTTTTTTGAGACAGGCTCTCATGTGGCTGTCTAGCCAAACGTAACCTTGTACTTCTGATCCTCCTGCCTCATCATCTTAGTTCTGGGATTCCAGACATGCCCACCAATGTCCTGTTGTTGTGGTGCTGGGGTGAAACCCATGCGTGCTAGGTGAGCATTACATGGAGTAAGCCATACTCAGCCCTTCCTACAACATTTGGGGAAAGGCTAGTGAGAAGAAAGCTCATTAGGGAACGGCAATTGTGTAATTGCCTAAGCATAAATTCTATCCTGGGTCTCACCGGGTGAGCGGAACTAACTAACTGCTGAAAGATTTCCACCATGAATGCAATGTGTTGTGGGTTATCATAAAAGTAACAACATTTTTGAAACATTGAAATATCTGTATTCAGGGATACAGAGATGGCTCAGCATGTAAGAGCACTGGCCCTCTTGCAGAGGACCTAGGTTCAGTTCCCAGAACCCACATGGTGGCTCACAACCATCTGTAACGCCAGTTCTATGGGACCCTCTTCTGACCTACATGGACACCAAGCATGCAGGTGTATGTCTATACAGGCAAAACACCCATAGACAGAAAGTAAAAATAAATCACAAAATTAAAAACAAACAATATTCATGCCAAATAATTGCAATATACTAAATATCCAGCACGTAAATGCAGCCAGAGTTCCATATATAATATATATATATATATATATATATTATACAAAATATATATAAATATATATTTATATATATGTCACAACCGATGAGTAAAAAGTAAAAATATAAAGAAAGGTTATATGGGTTTGGAAATCCTAGCCTCAGTTTCTATTGGAAAACTGGGGAGGGTATTTTCATAATTCTTGTGTTGTTGGTCTCAGGCCTCAACACACTCCTATCTCTCTGGCGTAGGTCACCTGTGTTGTGCACAATTTCCAGAGCCGACCGCCCTCTGGTCGAAGGCTCTCCCCCTGGGAGGACCTGAGCCAGGCCCCCACTATGGACAGCCCCCTCGAAAAGTTAAGTGTGGCCCAGGTAAGGGGGCCCGGGAGCTGCTCCGGGCTGGTGGTGGGTGGAGGCAGGCCCGGGAGGTAGGGAATCAGGCGGTGAGGACCCTTCTCTGGGGGAAAGGGGAGCCATCAGCTCTGGGGACGAAGTCCTAGGAAGAAAGCTGTCTAACGACTGGAAGGCTACACTCCCTCTCCCTCCCAAAGTTACATCGTTAATCGGGAGATCTCTGGTGCGTTTTCCATGGGGCGTCTGGTTGATGAGCCCTTTCTGACTGTGAGTTGCGGGGTCCTGGGATCCTCTAGCCCCTTCCCTCTTCTTTCTTTGTCTCAGGAAGCCGAGACCTGCAGGCCGCATTCGACACCGGCACGGCTCACCCCATCCAGTAAGTGTTCGGAGGCGGGCGGGGGGATGAACCGGCTCTTCCAGCTGCGCAGAGGTCTCACCTGGGCTTCTGTGAGGTTTTGCAAAACCTCTAGTTTTGCTAACCTCCTCATCTCCGAATGTCATCTCTAGAGCCGCAGAACTGTGCCCGCCGTGGCCACCTGATTCCCAGCTGTGTGTCCTCCAGGGCCCCAGCGATGTGCTCCTCGCCCCGTGTGCCCCGCCCTCGACTGAGGTCTGAGCCAACACCACTGCCGCTGCCTCTGCCCCTGCCCGCTCCGACTCCCAGCCAGGGTCCCTCGCCTTCCTCCCCTGGACCCGGGGGCCCAGGTGGGGGAGGTGGTCGCGGCCGTAAGCTACTGCTGCCCACGCCCCTGCTACGGGACCTGTACACCCTCAGTGGACTCCATCCCTCCCCCTTCCACCGCGACAACTTCAGCCCTTATCTGTTTGCCAGCCGCGACCACCTGCTGTGAGACTCGCCACCTAAAATGCACCCAGTGTCCCCTGTTTCTTCCCTGACACGTGTGCGTGTGCCACGTGAGTGCTAAAGGACCCTGCCCTCCAAAACAGCCAGGCTCGGCGACAGAAGATGGCTGGAAGGACACTTCTATGGGTGGGAAGGATCTCTTGGCTGCTCTTTGGCCTTCTTAAACATCCGGGTAGGCAAAAATAAGCAGGTGGGCCCAGTCCCTAAGACTGCCCTTGACCCATCTGGCCACTGTCAAGCCAGTGAGAGCTCCTAGTTCTCAGAATTTAACCTAAAAGTTTACTCCAGCCAATGAGAACTTCTCACTTCTTAGCTTCCTCGAGCAAGAGGGTAACTATGGCCAATGTTCAGTGTCTAAACAGCCAATAGGAGCCCTTGGCTTTCAGAATTGCCGAGAGTGGGTGGGAATGATTCCAGTCAATGGGGGACCGCCCGTGTCAAAGCCAAGGAGGGCTATCCAGACTCTCCCTAGAATAACAGACTCCAGCTGGAGGGTGGGGGGCAGGCTCCCCCATAGCAGGGTCCTGCGGCACCCCTACGTTTCTAGCTCCTCCCCAGGTGCAGCATCTCACACTCTCCAACTCCCTACTTAAGTAGGGCTTGCCCCAGTTCACAAGTTTTAGAGTTCCGGGTGCTGTCTCCCCTTGGCTGTGCCCAGGGCACCCCCAAACCTTCTATTATTTATTAGGGCTGTGAAAAAATATTTTCTTGGGACCCACCCTTATTCTTCATACTGCCCCCTCTGCCTCAGCCTCGTGCAGATGTGCCATCTTGGGGGGCATGGGTAAAGCAAAAGGGGGTTCCCCTACCCTGAATAGCCAAAGGCAGTGGGCAGATGAGACACTGTCCCCCTTCCCTGCCTCCCTCCTCATCTTTAATAAAGACCTGTTTGTAACAGAAGTTTGGCCTGCTGCCTGCCTCCCCCGAATACTGGGAGATGGGGGAGACTGTAACTGGATCTAGATGACTGTGAATATGGGTGTGAGTGAGCTGTCACAGTGTATCTAAGGACAAATGTGGAAAGACAGTGTGGCCATGGGACCAGTGGCATGGATCAAGGGTAGGAATGTGGGGCAGTTGGCAGAGTTTCTCATACACTGGATGTAGGGTCATGCCTGTGGCAAACACTGGAGAGGCGGAGGCAGGGAATCTGGAGTTCAAGGTCATCTTTGGCTACATAGCAAGCTGCAGGTCAGTTTGGGTTACCCAAGACCCTGTCACACACACCCCAAAAGCCTCAAATCTGAAACCCTATAGATTCCAATCTCTAGGCTCAAGGATTTAAGTGCGAGCTTGAGATTTCTGGATGCCATTATGTAGCCCATGGCCAACCTCCCTCAGCTTCCTAAGAGCTGGGATTGCAAGTGTACCCCAATACCTGGACTTTAGATCTCTGGGATGTTAGATATTGTTATTTGATCAGTAGAAAACTCGAGCCAGGGAAGCTGATGTGAGAATTGTGGGGTGAGAGCCAGTTAGATAGCACAGGAGGTGAAAACACTTTTCTTGGAGCCTGACAACCTGAGTTCCATCCCTAGAACCCAGGGTGGGAGGAAAGACAAACAATGCAGAGCTTCCCACGCACAGTGTGGCGCATCTTCTCTGTGCCTCTCCCTCTCAAATAATAATAACAACTATTATTATTATAATTCTTTGGTTTTTTGAGACAGGGTTTCTCTGTGTAGCTTTGGAGCCTATCCTGACACTCACTCTGTAGACCAGGCTCAACCTCACAGAGATCCACCTGCCTCTGCCTCCTGAGTGCTGGGATGAGCCACCAACACCAGGCTATTGTTGTAATTTTAAAAACAGGATATGGAGATATGGCTGAGTGAAGTTCTGTTCCCATCACTCATGTAGTGCGGCTCACAAGGGGTCTGATGCTGTCTTTTGCCTCTGAGGGCACCCACACTCACATGGCATGCACACACACACACACACACACACACAATTAAGATGGTTTTTAAGTTTAAAAACTGGGGGCTGGGGAGATGGCTCACTGTGTAAAGGTACTTGCTGACAAACCTGAGTTTACTGCTCCAGAAATCTTTCCAAAGGGTGGGAAGAGAGAACCAACTCATATGGCGGCCTCTACCCTCAGCACTGTGTCATTTCCCATGAGCTAAATAAATAAAGGTAATGAAACACTTTCAGAGTGAGTGAGTAGCTAATCATAGTGGCACATGCCTGTGATCTCAGTATTTGGGAGGTGGAGGAGCAGGAAGATGAGGAGTCCAAGGTCATCGTGGGCTACACAGCTGCTTGGAAGCCAGCCTGGGCTGCATCAGCAGGAAAGGAGAATGTGTGGGAGAGGGTTCTGAAATGGAGAGGCTTTCTATATTTAAAGAGTTTTCTGGGAGTCCATTGAGAAGAAAACAGCACAGGTGAGATGTGAGGGAAGAAAGGGAGCCCCATGAACATCTGGAGAGTGTGTGTGGATGTGTGGCAGTAACCATTCCAGGTAAACAAGACAGCAAGTACAAAGTCCTAAACCAAACCAAACCAAACCAAACCAAACCAAACCAAACCAAACCAAAGACCCAAGGATGCCTGTGTGCCTGGGACTCAGGGACTCAGTGAATGAAGAGCAAAGAGAGGAGGAGGAGGAGAGAGTCTGGGAGGTGGAGGGGCTGGCCACTGGCCACCGGAAGATTAGCCATGAGAAGTCTCATGATCACAGAGCCTCATTCTTGACTGACCAGGGCTGCTTGCAAAACTCACAGCCGTCATTTGTGGGGCCTGCGGGCCTTAAAACTTCCTGGCCCGTCAGGGAGGGAGCAGTTTCAGGACCGCGGACAGCGCCCGACTGACCTTGTCCTTGGTGTTGGCTCAGAGGGAGGACAATGAAAGGTGGGGAAGGGTCTGGCCTCTGAGGAGGGTTGCCGCATACCCTTGTTCAGACATACATTACGAATGGATAACCTCATGTGGAATCTACAGATTAAGTTTTTCTAAAGCTATCCAGGGCTGGAAATTAAGTTCAGTGGTAGATCATTTGCCTCGTGTGAGAGGCTGTGTTCCATCCCCAGAGTATAATAACCTCGTGGCCAGGCATGATGGTGTGTGCTTCTAACCCTGGCACCTAGGAGATGAAAACAGTAGGATTCGAAACTCAAGGTTGTTCTCGGGAATATAGCGAGTTGGAGTCCAGCCTGGGCTGCCTGAGACAAGAAAACAAAACTGAGCAGGTGACATGACTCAGTGGCTATGCATGCTTGTTTGTTGCAAAACCTGTTGACCCGAGTTTGATCTCCAGAACCCAGGTAAAGGTGGAATGAGAGAAACAGATAGACAAGGTTGTGCTCTGACCTCCACATGCTTGCCATGGGATGGCGCTCCAATCATGTGTGCACATGGGTGTGTGCGTGCACACACATGCACACACACTGATGATGATGATTGATGATGATGATGTTGATGAAAAAATTAAAAAGCAATGGAGAGGCTGCTTTTCCAGAAGTAATGGCCTTGATCTCCAGCACCGACGTAGTGGCTCACAACCATCTGTAAGTCCAGTCTAGGGGATTTGATGTCCTCTTCTGGCTTTTGGGGGCACAAGGCACACACATTGTGTGCATACATGCAGGCAAAATTTACACACACATACTTAAATTTACTTGTTTGTTTATTCCAGACAGGGATTCTTTGTGTGGCCTTGGCTGTCCTAGAACTCACTCTGTAGACTAGGTGGCCTCGAACTCACACAGCTCTGCCTCTGCCTCCTGAGTGCTGGGATTAAAGGCGTGTGCCACCAATGCCCAGCTACACTTAAATTTTTAAGAGAAATAAATCTTAAAAAAAAAAAACAAATGAAAGGGATGGATTAGTTTTGGAATCTGCTCAAGCAAAGCCTCTACAAGCAGGTGATGTTCAGCCAGAGACAAGTTAATGAAACAAGTGGGAGTGGACAAAGAAGCCTGCCACTTACAGGTCATCCCGTTTCCACTTGTGACAGCGCCTGCAGCCACACTGAGGCACACACAAAGTGAATAAATAAAAAATGCTGGAGATGGCTCAGGGATTAAAAGCAATTGCTGCTTTTGCAGAGGACCCAGGTTTGATCCCAGCACCCACAGAGAAGCTCACAGCTGTCTGTAATTCCATTTCCAGGAAATCAAACTCTTTTGACTTCTTCAGGTACCAGGCATACATTCATGCACAGACATACATGCAGAAAAAACAGCCATATACATAAAATATATATAAACAAATCTCTTAAAAAAGAAGAAGAATTTAAGGGCCTGGAGAGCTATTCCCTCAGAAATGAAGAGCACTTGTCGCTCTTCCAGAGGACCCAGGTTTGATTTCCAGTACTCACATGGTGGCTCACAACCATCTGCAACCCCAATTATAGGGGATCTGATGCCCCTTTCTGGAATCCATGAACACTAAGCATCTGTGCTGTACAAACATACATGCAGACCCCCTCCCCCCCCACACACACACACCAAGTGGCAGCCAGGCCTAGTGCTGCAGCTATAATCCAGCTACTTGTGATACTGAGACAGAAGGCTCATGAGTTCAAGACTTGCTTGGGCTACACAATAAGTTTAAAACCAACCTAGGCAATATAAGAAGTTGAATGTCTCAATTAAAAAAAAAGCCAGGTGGTGGTGGCACACGCCTTTAATTTCAACACTCTGGAGGCAAAGGCAGAGGCAGAGGCAGAGGCAGGTGGATCTCTGTGAGTTCAAGACCAGCCCGGTTCCAGGACAGCCAGGGCCATTACACAAAGAAACTGTCTCAAAAAAATAAAAAATAAAAACTAGCTGGGCACTGGTGGCGCACACCTTTAATCCCAGCACTCGGGAGGCAGAGGCAGGCCGATCTCTATGAGTTCGAGGGAAACACAGGCTTGCATGACAGCTCTAGAGCCAAGTCTGGGTGAAGAGACTGTCTGAGCCTGGTCTCCAGAGCGAGTGCCAGGATAGGCTCCAAAGCTACACAGAGAAACCCTGTCTCGAAAAACCAAATAAATAAGTAAATAAATAAATAAAATATGAGGGGAGACTGGAGACATAGCTCAGTAGTGAACCCTGGTCTTGCAGAGAAGCTGGTTGCAGTTTTCAGAACTCACATGGTAGCTCAGTCCTAGGGGCTCTGGTGCCCTCTTCTGACTTCTGAGGGCACCACACTCACGTGGTGCACATAAGAAATGCGGGCAAACACTTATAGGAATAATAAATAAATAAATAAAAATGTTTTAAGTGAGGGGAAAAAAGGGGGGCAGGTCTGTCTGTATGTATGTATGTACCTCAGGGTTAAAATGCTTACTTAGCTTTAACATAGGTGGAGCCCTATGTTCAAGCCCCAGTGCTGAAGGAAAGAAAGGAAGAAAAAGACGAAACCAAACAAACAAGCAAAAACAGAGCTAGATAGAGCCCCTAGAAACAACTCTTCTGGGCATGAAGCAAGAAGTGCCTGTGCTCAGTGTGCTCCTGTGACCTGGGGCTTGTGCGCCTTATGCTTTGTAGTGTCGGGCTGTGTGTCTGCGATGGGGGTGGGAGACTAAAGCAGCATGCTTCACAGAGCAGTGTAACAGTGTGCCAAGGACATATGTGTACAGAATGCCAATCACATAGTCATCTCAGTGTGTGTGTGTGTGTGTGTGTGTGTGTGTGTGTGCACGCCCATGCGTGCAAGGTATAGGGGTGTCCAGCTGTGTGTGTGGGTGTAATGGGGGATGTTGTGGAGCTGTTTTCTGTCCCCAGAAGGAGAGAGGAGTAAACTCAGGAAATCACAGTTCCGCCCTGCTCCTGGGTCTCCAGGCAACCATACCACTTTAAAGTTACTAGGAGACAAGGTTTCTAGGGAAACACAGGCTTGAGTGACAGCTCTAGAGCCAAGTCTGGGTGAAGAGACTGAGCAATGGGATCTTGGTTCTCATTAATTCTTCCTTCCTTCATTCAATGATTTAACAAGAATTACAGTTCTCAGGGCTAGAGAGATGGCTCTGTGGTTAAGAACACTGACACCCTCACACAAACATACAGGCAAAACATGCAGGCAAAACAACAATGCACATAAAATAAAAATAAATAAAAGAATTGCAATTCTACGGTGTGGACAGCAGATTCTCATGAAGAAGCATCTAAGGCCCTCGTTCTCTTGCACAACTTGTCCTCTCCAGTATTTCTCAATAGAAGCAATGTTCTCTCTCCCATAAACACAAGCAAGCATTAAGACGGTCCTAGGCCAAGGAGAAAGGCAGATGGCAGGCACCTTTAAGAGCCCTCATAGAGGGAGCCTGGGAGAAGGCTCGGTATGGAAAGTGCTAGCAGTGTAGGCATGAGGGTTGTGTAAATACCAGACACATTATCAGTATCATGGTGGGGCTGTGATGAGCTTTTGGGGGTGGAGACAGGAGGATCCCCAGAAGCTCTGGGGCCAGCCAGACTGATCTACACAGCAGTGAACATGCACTGCCTCCAATGAGATGGAAGACAAGGACTGACCTCCACACACCTGGGGTGGCACAGTCCTGCCTGCACACACATAAAGATTTTTTAAAATTAAAACAGAAATCAGGGTCAGTGAGATGCCTGAGGGTTCTTGCCACCAATCCTGAAGATCTTTCATCCTGGGAACCCACACAGTAGGAGAGAAAGAACCGCATCCCATCTCTGAACACATGCACACCGTGTCATGGGAGTACATACACATACACCAACATCCCTCATTGAGGGCTAGGGATGAGGCAGTGTGGTGAGTGCTTGCTTAACACGTACAAACCCTGGGTTTGATCCCCAGCCCTGCATTAACTTGGCATGGTAGCATAAGACATCTTCAGAGTTCCAGGAAATGTAAAATGATTGGCACCCTATCAAAAGAAAAAATCTGAGTCCCAAATCTGTAGCCCATATAAACATATTCCCATATCCAAGCAAGGAGAGACAAGCGAACAGCTGTCCCTTTCCATCTGTGAACTGTCCTTCGGCGATATTAGCGGATATTCACACCAACACACTGCAATGACCCCAAGGGATCACAACACTCGTTTTGCTGGTGGGCAAGCTGAGGTTAGGAGTCTGGTTTTTATTATTTATTTTAAGACAGGAGCTCATGTAGCCCAGGCTGGCCGAAAACTTCAATATGTAGCTAAGGGTGACCTACAGTTTTTTGTTTGCTTGTTTGTTTGTTAAGATTTATTTTTACGCAGGGTGTGTGTGTGTGTGTGTGTGTGTGTGTGTGTGTGTGTACGCGCACGCGGGTATGTATGTGTGTCTCGTGCCCGCGGAGGCCAGAAGAAGGCGTCGGATCTCTAGGAACTGGCGTTAAGGACGCTTGCAAATCACCCTGTAGGAAGTGGGAACCGAACCCAGGTCTTTTGGAAGAGCAGCTGGTGCCCTTCACGGCTAGGCGTCTCTGGGGAGCGCGTTTGCACCCTCGACCTTTCTTTTAATCTGATCACGCGGCTTCCGGCAGCAGATTCCCTCACGCACCACTTTGCTCCATGTCCCGTGTTTTGACCATTTACGACAGCTCCAGAGACCGAAAGTGACGCTGCGAACTATAGCCAATGAAACATCGGTGTGGGCGGGCCCGGGAGGAGGACGCATCCCTGATTGGTCAGCGGTACTCGGCAAATGGCGGAGGCGCTGAGGCGGGTGCTGAATGAAGGCCGCGCGGCAGGGCCCGGGGAGGAGGGAGCTCCGGGTCCGCCATTGCTGCTGCTAGGCGCTCCGCGCTCCGCGCAGACTTCGCTGCTGTTTGCGGCCGCCCTCGAGGCGGCAGGGGAAGGCCGCGGGCCTGTCCTCTTCATGACACGAAGGCCGCTTCAGAGCCTGCCGCTCAATACACCCGCAGCGCGGAACCCCTGGCGGCTCCAGGTAACCGGAGGGCCGGATCTGGAACGTGTCGCCCAATGGCAAGAGAGGTGGTGCATGAGTGACAGGTCGGCAGGCCAATGGCGCGTCAGAAGGCCTACGGGGACGAAGTGGGTGGAGGAGGCGGGTAGCCGCACGGGGCGGGGCAGTGCGGGTTTAGTTAAGAGTGAATGAAAGGCCGTCCTATGATCGCTCGGCATTAGCGGGCGTGGGCGCCAAGGAGGTGGAGTCTAAAGTGGAGTTAGTTTCCCTTGGAAGCACGCGTTCTCTCTCCCAACAACAATAAAATAGAGCTCTCAGCTAGCATGCATGAAGCCCTGGGTTTCGTTCCTCTAACCCGGCATGGCAATGCACGCCTGTGATTCAGTTCTCAAGAGGTGGTTTCAGAAGGGTCAGGCCATCCGGCTACATCACGAGTTTTCAGTCATCCTGGCTTACATGAGACCCTGTGTCAAAGAAAAAAAAAGAATCTTAACTAAAATGATTTTGGGCAGTGATACAAGCTGGAAAAGGACAGGTGACAAAGAAGGACAAAGAATATCTGAGCTGGTGCTTCATCCTCGAAATTTATATATGGGGCTCGACTGGGAAAATATGGAAGAGTCATGGCAGCCATAGTAGGGAGCCTTGGCCTCCTATGTTAAATCTTGCCTTTTCCTGTCTTCTAGAAGGTTCGATTCCAGTACCCATCCTCAGTTCCAGAGCTTCTCCAGCTTCTGGCCTCTGCCCATGAGACCCCAGGGCCTGCCCCGTCCCTTCTACTGCTAGATGGCCTGGAAGAATATCTAGCTGAAGACTCAGGGGTCCAGGAAGCCGCCTACTTAGCTGCATTGCTTCTGGATACTGCTGCCTACTTTAGCCACCGTCTTGGAGCCAATGGCAGCTGTGGGCTTGTGGTGGCCCTAGAGACCCAAAAAGAAGAAGACAATGATGCCCCACATCTGACATTGCTTCAACGGTATTTTCCTGCACTGTGCTGGCTGCAGCCAGATGCCCTAGACTTGGGACAGCACCATTGCCTGCGGGCCAGCCTGGAGTTGGGCAAGCTGAGCCCCAGGACGGAGTGGTCAGTGACCTTCTTACCTAGTGGAGAGATGAAGATCATCCCATGGCCTACCCAGGCTTCTAAGCCCAGCCCAGATAAAAAGTGTTCAAGTGCTGAAAGCCAGTCATTAACTCTGGAATGTGGCAACCTCTCTGACCCTCAGTTTCCCTTGGATAGAATACTTCCTTCAGGGACAGGTTCGGAATCAAAGACCTGGAAAATGTAGCATTGCTGAGCTGGGCTTGCAAGATGGCTCAGTAGATAAGGGGCCTTTCCAATAAGCATGATTACCTGGCTTTGATTCCCAGCATCCATAAGGTAGAAAGCTAGAACTGACTCCTGCAAGTTGTCTTCCGGCCTCCACATTTGGGTAGAAGCACACACATGCCCTCCACACAAATAGTAATAATAATAAATAGAACCTTTAAAATAAATAAATAAATATAATCATCTGAGGTTTCCTAGTTCATTTCTTCTTACTTATTGTGTTCTTTTCCCACAGGATCACGTGTAGCTCAGGCTAGCCTCAGACCAAATACTTAGCTGAGGCTATTCTTGAACTCCTGACCCTCCAGGCTCATCCCTTGTGGGCAGGGCATATGGAGTGTGCTTCCACACTTGGCTTCTTCTGTGTACTCTATGGTGCCTGCATATGAGTTACCTCTGTGTCTTGGCTTACATTACTGTTAGGGAGTCTAATCACATACACATACATGACCTTGCACATGTGTTTAGGGTATACGGTTGGAAGTAGAATCACTCTGTACAGAGTATGCACAGATTTAGCTTTTTTAGGACATAACATTTTTCAAGCCATTAAACTGAGTTTGAGCGTGGTGTTTTGCAAAATGGTAAGCCCAGCTTTGGGATGTAGAGATAGGAAGTCACAATGCAAGGTTATCCTTGGCTACTTAAGGTGTTGGAAGCCACTCTGTCCTACACTAGACCCTGTCAGAAAAAAAAAAAAAAAGGGCTAGGCCTTTAATCCTAGCACAGGGCCAGCCTGATCTATACGGAATGTTCCAGGCCAACCAGGGCTACAAAGTGAGACCATGTCTCAAAGTCAATCAAAAAACTAGGGAGCTGGAGAGAGGGCTCAATGGTTAAGAATTCTCTCATAGGACCTAGTTTCAGTTCCCAGCATCCATGTCAGACACAACCACTTGTAATTACAGCTCCAGGGGATCTAATGCTCTCTTTTGGCCTTCTTGGGCACCGACATGAAGTGGTGAACATACATATATAGAAACAGAACACTCATAACATGAAATGAAAGTACATAAATCTTTTAAAAGAAAGAAAGGAAGGAAGGAAGAAAACCCAAAAATCCGTCTTGGAGGTAAGCCCAACACCAGGGTGTTGTAAAGGGAGGTGAATAATCCATCCTGCAATGGGAGCCCCGTAAGCTTGGGAAGTGAACAACTCAAAGGCTTCGGGAAGTCCCTGAAACTCTCAGACAAGCTGAGCTCTACAATCTGTGGAGCTGTCTGCAGCCTGTGTAGTGTGCTCCAGGTTCCCAGTTTTGGTGAGATGTCACCCATTTTGGGGTGGGATTTGGCTATGCAGCCATCTGAGTCATTTCCACTTTCATAAGTAATCCCTTACCCATATTTCTGAGCATACACCAATAACTCATTGATTCATCAAATTGGACTTTGGTGGCACTCTACTTTGGTCTGTCATCAGATTTCTATTCCGGGTGAGTGGATGTTAGTTCACAACCCCAGAAGCAGTGTCACAGAGCATTGGATAAGACACTAAGTTTCAGGTGGGTGTGTTGGCAGCTAGTCAAATGTGCACTGACTGTGGTGATCCCTCTTCACGTTGCCAGATCCAAACTTCCAATCTTAGCTCAAAAACTTCAGCTGTGTTTTCCCATAGTCTAGATCCAGGAAAGATGGGAATTGAGGGTATTTACTGAGGTCCTGGAAGAGGGCAGAGTCCCTACCTACCATGTATGAATCTCGAGTTCAATCCCCAGCACTGTATTAGCTCAGTGTGATGGAACAAGCCTGGAGTCCCAGCACTTGAGTTCAAGGTCACCTTCAGCTACCATGTGACAAAATAACTAAAATATGGACTAGTAAAGGCATTTCCCATGCAAGCCTAAAGACATGAGTTCCACATCCCTGGAACTTGTGCAAGAAACAAAAAACCTGGTTGTGGTGTGTGGTCTGATCCAGCATCCAAAGGCAAGATGGACAGAGATCAGAGAAACAACCAGAAGCATAAACACAAAGTATGGCAGGAACACAAGGCATTCTGCCTCCAGGTGGGAGGAGAATCAACTGCTATACATGAGTTGAGGCATACATGCACCCATATATATATATGTGTGTATATATATATATGTATATATATACACACACACACACACACACACAAATAAGACAAAGTCGTGGTAGAAAAACCGATATGTATTATATTTTTATATACAGACAGCTAACGGTCCATATTAACATTGCAAGGCTGTCTCTTCCTGGGCAGGATGGGCTGAGCAGAGGGTCACCTGTGACTTTAAGTATGGCCTCACCAACCCTGTTCAAGAAGTTGTAGGCTTGGAATCTTGTAGATTGGAGTCCTAGGAGCAGGCCATGTAGCTGGGGTGCAGGGGCTCTGGGTCTGGGACAAGGCTATTTTCATAGGGGTGGGAGTAGGGCCCACCAGATGAGTCCCCATGGACTCCCTGGGAGCCCCCGGAACTGTAATCTGTTGAGATGCCCGAATCTGACACCACAAGGTACAGGCACTTCAGGTGAGGCGGAGTGGGAGGCAGCTCAGGAGGCAGTGCCCTCGGGCATAGGCGCTGAGAGTTGGGGTCCAGGATGGTGTACTCAAAGCTGGAAGGCGAGGTGCCCTCTGGCCTGGGCTTTGCGGCCAAGTCCGAGGGGCAGGAAGACGCTTCTGAGCCTTCATCCATAGTCCCTGGGTCCACACTGTCCCCAGATCCAGAGAGGTCCTCACTGCATGGGCTCCGGGGCAGCAACCACTCATCCAATACCAAGTAGGTGTCCTGGGCATGCTCACTGCCCACTGGCTCCAGTAAGGGCCCCTTGTCATCCGCCCCTGGCTCCCCTGCCTGTGGCACCCCCCAGCAGCGCTCTGAGAGGACTTCTAGGTGGGCAGGTGGATCCTCGAGGAAGGAGTTGCTGGGGCTCCACCACAGACAGCCATCATGCTGTAGCAGCCACAGCTGGGAAGAGAGCACCCTCCTGCTCAGAGGCCTGGGCTTCTGTATGTGTCAGCAGGCAGCCCCAGGAGCACAGAGAACAAACAGGTCACCTACCTGGAAGTTACCCTTGTGGGTGGTGAAGAGACCCTCGAACTCACTCTCTGGGCTTGGGATGCCAGGCCAGATCTTCTGCTTCAGAGCACTGTGAAAGTTGTCAGAAAGTTGTCCATGGATGTGTGATGCTGGGCGGACGCTCACCCACACCCTCTCAGACCCCCACCACAGTGACACCAACGTTCCTGCAGGAGTGGGAAACAGCCTGTGGAGGAGGCATCATGAGGCCCTACAAAAGGGTAGCTAAGATAGTTTTGAAGGATGCATAGTTTAGTCCATGCTGCTTCACACTCTCGGTCACTCCTTTCCATGGGCTGAGGGTGGGATCCCCAGAACCACTAGTGTGTGTGTGTGTGTGTGTGTGTGTGTGTGTGTGTGTGTGTGTTCAAACGAAGTAAATAAGCAGGGCCACAGGATGTGCACTTTCCGGAAAAGTAGGAAAGGCAAAGCTTTGAATGCACTGAGAATTATAAACACCTCAGGATGGCTGGTCAGATCATTAAAGCCACTGGGCTTAAATCTCTCCCATTAAACTATCTGGTTGATTTGGCAAAGTTGACTACATTGGGAAATGGAACCCACAAAGGAATGCAGGAAGAAGCCATCGCCAAAGTCAAGGAACTCCAGCAGGCGCCCCAGAACAAAGAAGCTCGAGAGAGTCTGGGTGTAGTCTGACTTACATTCTATCACTGACAACTGTTGACTCTGGGCAAGTGCTCACCCCTCAGCCTTGCTTTCTGTAGAGGAAGATGTAAGTTAGAGCTTAGCTTGGGTTGGGGGCTCACCGGCGGTGGGACAGCAGGGCCAGCACTGCCAGCAGCAGCGAGATGAGAACGAGGATGAGAGACAGCGTCAGGATGAGAGGGTCCAGGTCTGGGAGACAGGAAGGCGGTCAGGGAGGTTTGCCCGGTGTTTGTCCCACCTCACCCTTCTCTCTGAGGAACTGGGGCCTCACCGCTAGCGGTCAGCAGCGACGCGGGCTCAGACCAGGCGCTCCAGAAGCCACTGAAGCTCGGCTCGGCCATGCGCGCTCGAACAGCGAAGGTGTAGCGTGTCCCGCCCCGCAGGTTGCTCAGCACACACTCAGTGCGTCCTTCCAGGACCTCCACCTACGGGCGGTGAAGCCAGGAGAGATCTAACCAACTAGCACCCAATGAGAAGAGGCTATGCAAGCTTGACTACATGGGAGGTATCTCATCAGCACCCTAATAATGAGAAGGGTACTTCTCAAGTAATGGTATCAACTGGCAAGTCCCGTTTTTGGCTCAAGGCCAATCAGAACAAGGGCCCCCACCCCCACCCCCACCCCAAGTCAAGAGCTGGCCCTGGGCTACATAAAGGCAGAGCCAGACACCTCACGGAGAGCGCCTCCTTGAGGTCTGAGGATATGAACCGGGTTGTGAGAGAGGTTGAGGCTCTGATGGGTTACCCCAGAAGCCTGAGCAAAGTGGGGGTGGGGGGAAGTGTGCGTGACCTAACGTGAGCTAGCTCAGTGGACCCAAGTGGTGGAAGGAGAAAGCTCACTAAAGTTGTTCGCTGACCTCTACAAGTGCACAGTGGGAAGCGTGCACCCAACACACAAATAAATGAATGTATCTTTTAAAAATGTTTAAGTGTCAGAAAAGAGAGCAATTAAAAGACAGCGATGGGATGTGGGGCACTGGGGGAGGGACTTCGGGCCAGGACTCAGGGAGGTTGGATGGGGCTGTCCTCTCGGGCTCTCACCCTTTGCTTCCCTCCTGCCCGGTTGCCTGCAGACACGTCCACTTCGTAGCGGATGTGGGTGGTCATAGGTGCTCCAGGAGGTGGCAGCCAGCGCAGCAGCACGTGGCTGCCCTCTTCTGCCCGACGCGCCAGCAACCCTGCGGGGGCGTCCAGGAGCACTGCAGAAAGAGAAGTGGATGGGGGAGGCGGGGACCCGGCCCAGTCTCCACCCCGCCGAAGGATGTCGCTCCCATCGCCTCTCACCTACCAACTTCATTGATATGGATGATGCGGTGGTAGCGAGGAGATCCGGAGGCCGCCGTCACGCGCAGCTCCAGGGGCACGAAGCTCGACGTGTCCGCGGTCGGCAGTGAGCACCAGAAACGCACGGAGCCGCGGACTGTGGGCGCCTGGTGCAGGCGACACGACTTTCGTGACTCACCCCTATGCAACCAGGAGGGAAACCGAGAAGAAAAGGTTGAACTAGCAGGGAGGGTAGGAGGGGACTGGAGAGTTTCTGGTATCCTTTGCTCAGATCGTGGAATCCAGAGCATTTTGACCACCACGATGACGGAGTGCCCCAACTCCAATGTGACACCGGAGCCCATTGATGGAGAATTATTCCAGCCCTGGTCACCAGGGGGCG